CGGGCCGCCGCCGGCTCCTGCGCCTGCCTGGCCGCTAGCCGCGGAGCTGGTATCCCCAAACACGGAGGCAGCGCCAGGGTTTGGGTTATTTCCCGCTGTCGAGGGCACGGAGCTGCTGGAGACTAAACCTGTGGAACAATCTCTGCTTAATCTAAGCTAATTAGTGCGTTGCAGCTTCCCTCGGTTTTTTAGGAGCAGTTTCTGCCTGAAGGGCAGAAGGCATGACTTGTGTGAGTCATTGTACCCCTAAAATCTCTGTTTTCTTGAAAGTTTACATATTTTTTAAGCATGCTTGTACATGAATGTGTGATGTAAGTAGTTTTTTTCCAGCTTCACTTGTCTAGTCTGTTCCTGGATGTCTCCGTGTGTGGCAGGGAAGGTTGAGTTGCACCTGCAAGGGCCTCTGAAGCACTACAGCCAGTGCCCTGGTGTGGGTACTGCCTCTTCTTAACTTGCATGGTAGTAAACTGTGTCTGGGTGAGAGTTCTCCCTCGCTTCAGTGGAGCCGACCAGCTCTGGCAGAGGAGTAGGAATGGCAGGAAGAAGTTGTTTCAGTTTAGTTTTGTGAACAATTTAGTAGCTTCAACCTTTGTTCACATAGCAAATAAAACAGGTTGAAGGTAGACACCGTTATTCTGACCACAATACCTACAAGTAACCTTGGGAGTAACAATGATTGGGGCCTTTGTTTTCAGCTGGGGAGTTAGGTTGTTGAAATATACAGTATTTTAAATATGGAAATTAGTAAAGATTTTGGCACTTAGTTCTTCAGTGTTAGGTTATATGGCTTACAGGGCACACAGGAAAAAAACCAAACTGATCTCTGTACTAATATTTTGATGTCTCTCTTAATTGCTTGGAAAAAAAAAAGCAAATGATAAACCAGCTTTCTGGTGCATTCCAGAAGCATCCATATTTAACTCCTCCAGGGCCATGGGCACGTGTGAGTGGGTTGGGTGCTGCTATGAGCACCTATCTTCAGTTGGTGAAAAGATTAAAGTCAGTCCTGCACTCTTTCTTATTGTTATAAATAACAGTCTTCTGTGGGGTGGGAGGTGGTAGACACAACTGCTGTCTGGCCACAGTGTTCAAATATCTTTTACCATTTTGGTTATCTCTGTCCTTCCTGCCCACACTCCCAATGCCCCAGTTCCCCCCTTTGTACTTTTCGTAAAGCTTCACAATGTCTTTGCCTCCCTGTGTCTGGATCTCTTGACCTGCTCAATTAAAACTGTAAGAGATGCTGGTATCTAGAAGTCACCAATCTTGTCTGTGTGCTTGGTGAAGGACTCAACCCAAACCTCGGGAATCTGGGTTCAGCTACATTTTATCTACTGCCAAAACTCCAGTTGGGCTCCTATTTGTGGTTTGACTCATTCCTAAAAATCAAACAAATTCAAGCCCCTAACAGGCTGTGGAACAATACCTGGGATAACTTACAGTGGTGCTCTGGATGAGCTTATATACAGGGAACATATCTGTGATATTGAAATATTCCAGGGTGTTTGTTGCCTGTTTGGGTTTGGTTGGTTTTTTTTTTTAAAATTGTTTGTCCTCCTTGTCTAAAGATGCCTCTTGTGTCACCTCCCACTTACAGAGACAAGGACCAGTCTCACACCTTGTGAGCCTGGGGTGTCCAGAGTCTTGGTTCTTTTTACTGGCAGATAACCAGAACACTTGTGATTCAGAGGAGGCTTTTCCTTTTGCAGTTAGACTCCCAAAAGCATTTGGTCACTGGGTCTCTAGTGTATTTGCAGTTGGAAGATGGCTAGGTGGTTAATTTGCAGCTTACACAGCAGTATAACAAATTGTATGTTTAAAAACAAAATGAAAGGCACATCTGGGTACAGGATAACCCCAGTGCTGTAAGGCTGCTTCAGGCAGGGCTGGAGGAGAATTCCTGTTTCTTAAACTAACCCTGCAACCAGGGAACAGAAGGTGAGGAGTCAGATCTGATAGAATACTGGTGCTGGTTACAGATGGACACATCTCCTCCTCCGAAAATGGCCAAATACACCTCTCCTGCTGTTTAGCTGAGTATTTCTCAACACTTTTCCACTCCCTATTCACTTCTGCCCCCAAATATTTAAATTTTAAAAGCTATTCTCGATGATTCATGATAAGAGTAGGGCCGTGGCTGTGAGATGAAGCAGTTTCATCAAAATCATGAGAAATGCATGCTAAGTTTGGTTTTTCATGCCCTCACAGATATAAAACTCAAAATCCCTCATGAACAGGGAGAAAGTATTTCTTTCAACAAGCTGTTTTGGATAACTTTACATGTTCTTTGTTCAGAATTTAATTTTCTGACATGCTTCAGAACTTAAATTATTATTGTTAGCTCATCTGTAGCTTAATTAGTGCTAATTGGTTTTGTGATTGGCAGATAGCTTAATAAAATATAATTGTGTTAGAACACAAGTACATGGCAAGTATGCAGCTGGTTCTTATCTGCATTATTAGGTTTATTCTAGAATACCTTGAGCAAAATCCTGACATGTTTACTGCTGTTAGTGACATTGTTTGAAAACCTGAAAGTGTTTAGATGTTGTTTTGCTTGGTTTGCTTTAAGTTCAAAGTGGAAACTACAGCATCTGAGATTTATGGGGGACAACACACATTAAGATGATAAGGTGTCACGATTTAATATAGTTAGAAGTGAGCAAAACCCCTCTGACTTCTTAACTGTAGTGTTTGGAAGCTGATTTTTGTAGGCTATGGCACAGAAATTTCAAGTTTTTGTTGGATCTCTGTGGCTTTCTGCTGTGCATGTGTTTAAAAGGTAAGCAGAGAGTTAAATATGGAAAGATGATTTCTTGATAAGTTATCTGAAGTGTAAGGTGCTTCTTTTCTCCTTTAAGTGTACATAATATAGAATGTAATTCTGTGGATATTTTTACATAAACTGTGTTTTCTTCTTACAGTCAAAGCTGGAGGTATGAGAGTGTCTAAAAAGCAAGAAAATGGACCTGTTGAGAAAAATATTAAACCTCCAGGAAAAGACAAGACAAGGTACTGCACTGCAAGGCTTGTTCCCCCCTGCCCTGTGGCTGAAGTTCATAGGTAATGGGCTGAAGGTTGAAAACAAAGACAACTGAATAGTTGTCTCTGAACAGTGTAATTCTTAAATTAACTTGTGCAATTTGTAGGTAAATGGCAACTTTGTGGTAATCATTGACTTAAACAAAACCTAAACAAACAGAAACTGACTTAAAAAAATCAATTTCAAAATCTAAGAGCCTTGCAATGGAAGACAAAGGCTGAACCTGTTCTCTATCATCATTTGTTATGAAACAAATTAAAGCAATGTGGTACTTAATAAAGTAATGATCCAAAAGTTTCCAGTGGAGTAGGAATGAATTTTCTGTCCATTCTGTAGGAATGAATGAGGCTGTCCTCATTCTGAAGGAAATTAAACTGTCTCCCACCCCCCACAGATAGCCACAAATCTCCTGTAGGGGCTTTATCTCTTATTTCAATCTGCAATCTAATCTGGCTTTCTCTCTTTCCTGCTTTATAAGGTTACTAATCTATTTTGCTCCAAAATGAAGGTATGTTTCTACTTTTCAGTAGGGCAGCAGTGACTGGTTGAAGTGGTCATCAAAGCAAATATTTTCCTACAGCTTTTTCAGATGAATTTTTACATTTGTAAAATACATTCACTTTTTGTAAACATCACTTAACAGAAAGTCTAGCTGGTTAACATAAAGATAAGAGGATGCCATTTTCATGGCTTGTGGTGTTCCTGAAATTGCATTAGCGTCCAAACCTGCAGTGGAACACAGTGCCCAAACAGGACTTAGACACTTGGGCTTTTGCTTCTATTGCACTTCTAAACTTTCTTAGTGGCCACTAAGTTTGGATGCTCCACTCACCATATGCTGCCTTTTTTTTCTACAAAAAACTGCCTTTAAGAGCCTGCAGTTCTCCCGGGGTGTATCTAGGCCTGCCCTGCTATTGCAGGGTACCTAGCACCCCCAGAGCTGCTCTGACTTTGGGAAGCTAGTCTGTGTGACAGTAAGCTTTTGTTCAAAGGAGCCTCAGCCAGGGATTTGCCCTTGGAGTAAAGCTGCTGTATCCTGACACCTCGCTGTGTGAGGAAGCAGTGCACATATCCTGCTCCACATGATGACTAGGGTACTTGTGGGGAAATGGAATACCTCAATTTCGACCTGTTGTCAGCTAAAAGTGCTACCTATCTTGCTGTGTCACTTGCTTTCACCGGTGAGCTACATGACTCCTGTTGAAGTTTCAAAGAACATAAGACTCAGGGCTTGAGATTTGTGGGGTAAGACAAAATGTGACAGTTAAAGTTACATTTTGGGGAGGTGGATCTAAAGTTAAACTCGGCATTGTAATTTGTGTGCACTTAAAATTACCCCTTTTTCAGTGTTCAGAATATAAAGTGTAAGTTGAGCCTGGCATTTGGATATCCTTCTCTAATGAGAGCTCCTGCACACAGAGTACACTTCTTTCCAGCTCTCTCAAATGTTAAATTTCTGCTGCTCAGTGACCCAGCTCCAACAGGAGAGCGCAGTCTGATCTCCTAGACTCTTGAGAGCAGGAGATGAGGGGTGTACTCCCTTTTGACTGAGGACTGCCTGCAATTCATTCTTCCCTTGGAAGCTGTTGAGCACTGCACTTCTACCTGTCGGTGTGAAACACATCTCTTGTTGCTTTGAAAGTGACTTTGTCACCTTACTGTGAAAAAGCACTTGGAAGCAAGTATTCTTACTGTAGGAACACACTCTACATCTGTGGATGTAGACACCTCTCCTGCAGCCCCAATTTGGGACCAGTTCTAAGCATAAAAATAAGCTGGAGCAAAACAAGATTCAACACTGTTTTGTCTCTTAAGAACAGAACTCGCTTCAAGCAGTCTTGTATTGTCCTCATGAGTGCTTGCTCTGGGCTTGCTGAAGAGGCCTGTCCAAACAGAGCTGCTCCAGAATCATGTCTTTATTAAAGCCTATCTTGGAATTATCCTGAAAGCTGTGAATTACTCCTAATGCTGTGGATTTAGGGACACCAGTTACTTTTTACCTATAAGAAGGGAGCCACCTGTACTATGGAGTTTCTCTAGTACCCAAGCGTCCATTTAAAAAGCCTGGGTTAGACAGGACAGGAAAATGGTCTGAGTTACTTTTGGCTCATTCCCACTTTCTTTTTTTTTTTTTCCACACTGAGATTGGAGTTGCTTAATTTGATGAACAGTTTTACCTCTGGTGTTTGAGCATCACTAGCTGCTGTCAGGAAGGCAGCAGTAGGATGTCTGTGCACATTGCAGTTGTAGCACCAGAGTGTCTGACAGCCACAACCAAGTACTGTAGTCTAGTAACACCATTGTGGTGTTTTGCCAGGAGTTAAAAGGGAAGCTTGTGACTAGACTGACAGCTGAACTTCAGTTTTCTGGACCAAGATGTGATTTCCTCCTCCCCAAATGCTGTCATCTACTAAATAACTTTGAAAATAACTGAGTTTAAATACTTAACACGGACATATTGATGCTATTTCTTGGCAGGCTACATAAATTACCACTATAGTTTTTTGTGTGTTTTTTCTCCTCACTGGCTTGGAGGACGCTAACCTGAACCAGAACTTCCAGAGCAAAGCTGAACCATGTAACACTGGCTTCTTTCCTGTGTGAACTGTGTGGCTCTGTGCCAGTCGATGGCTTCTCAGTGTGGTGCCCATATCGTGCTGGGATGATGGATTGCACTGGCAGGGTGCAATCACAAGGGGCACAGACTGCTTTGTAAAGTAGTTAGTAGCTATCATGTACAGATTCCTTGCCTCTAAGCTTCTGGTTCAGATGAGATTATCCAAGAGGCTCAAAGTCCCTGTCACAGTTTAAAGTGTCTACTCGGAGCTGAGATTGGTCTTGGCAGGAGCTGAGCTTTGAGATGTAGTACTAAATAAAAAACCCATGCTTGCTCTAGAGTTGCTGAGTAACATATGGCTTGGCAGAATGCAGAGCATCGTGTTAATAACTAGATGCCTGCCTGAGACTTTCCTGAGAACAGGTTACATTTGGACATACCTCATTATTTAAGAGAAATTACTCAGTGTGGTGTGTTCTAGGGCTTTTATTTTTTCAATAACTTGCAGGTTTTGGTTTCTGTTTTTCCAGGAGTTAGAAGGTTTTTATTTTCATTGATTGCCAGTTGTCTGGGTGTAACTTTGCTGCTGTCTCTTACGTAATCAGTTACCTGATAGCATAAATCCATTTTGAACAACTTATTTGTTGGTGTGGCAAACTGTATTGATTGCTAAATTAAAAATTCTGTAGGAATGTGACTTGCCTGATCCACAGGCTAGTGGATTAACATTAAGTGAAGCAGTGCCTGCTTTTCCAGCAGTCCCGTTTAAGGTATCCGCTTCCATGCGTAAGGGGTAGAATGAGTTATGGAGACGTTACTGCAAATAATGGTATCACCAAAAGAATGTTTGAGCCACAGTTCTTCCTGTTGCTGAACTATGTGATTTCTGTCCACAGTTTGTGGAGTACTGGAACATGGCTGTTCCTCTCTGGAATATGAAGAAGCCAGTGGGACAGTCTTACACAAAGGCTATTGCCAGGCTGATTGCTGCTGCCAGAGGCAACGCTTCCCAACAGCAGAGCGGGGATTTTTTTCATGAGTCTAGACTAGAATCAAGAAAATTATGAAGTCAGATCTTGTAGTTCTGGATATCAGAGCTTAGCTTCTGTGAAGTTATGCCATGCTGTAAAAAAAAAAAAAAAAAAAAAAAACCAAACATTTGAGATATTTCAGGATATTTTATAGAGAGATCTTTGTATAAAACGATGTTTAAATAAACCAGCCTGCAACACTGGCATTGTTCTGTTCTGAGGCAGCACACCTTCTTAATATCGTGTAGTTTTTAATGTGACTAAAGGATTTCTCATCAAAACATAAATTTCTATTACAAATTGCTTTGTATTAAGTAGGAAAATTAAAGTGACAAAGTGACAAATGTTTCTGTGAGACAGAAATGCTAAATACCTTTTTCTTTTGCTTTACAGTGCTATTGTCAGCTTTTCAAAAACTCAGAACAAGGATGCCTTGGTGCCAGAAGTGCTGAGCAAAGTAAGTATGTCTGGAAGACCAAGATATGCTTGCCAGGGGTTCACCATAAAACTAAACATAAAAAAAGTGAATTTTCCTTAAACTGCTGTCATCTGTCATTTGTAGGTCTTATCTGTCACAAACTTTCCTTGAGGTAATCTATTTCTTTAGTGGTCATGTGGCTAAAATGCTGAAGGGCTAAAAAGTAACTTGCCTTCCCTCCTTATTCTGCTGTGTTTGATTCCATTCCTGTTTAACACTGAGTAGCCCCTGGGTGGTGGTGTGTCCCTGTAACAGAAAAGCACAAGATGTTAAGGTGTGCCCCTTTTTTAAAGTGGTACGTTGATTAGATTTATTGAAATGAGGGAGGAATTATCAGTGACATGCAAGTTTGTGGCAGAGCAACCCATAAAAACCCCAGTCTTCAGTTCTTTATCCCACTGTGGAAACAGGTTTACCTTCTGTGAGGGCTGAGCTTGGGGGAGCACAGAGGTGGTCTGCAGGAGGTGGGGGTGTCCCCGGGGGACACCGGGCTGGCCAGTGGCATCAGCCCCTGGCTGGTGTCCCCGAGACAGCAGGCACAGTGTGCTCCACTGCTCCCCACAGGCAGCTGGCTCACCTCAGGCCTGGCACCAGATAGCTGAGCATCACCTTGACCTTCCCTTGGAAATACTACACAACCATTTAAAACTGTGTGGTGAGGGACCATTCTGTCCATCCTTACACTCACAGCTGCTGCCCAGTGCCTCTTGCTAGGCTGTTGGTGCAGATACTCTTATTCCTACACTTTGCAGGAGCTGATTTAACAAGCAGCTTTTTAATTTGCATACTAATCTGAAGTTCTGACAGTCACCTTCTATTTTTCATACACTTTCAGTCTTTAGATTCTGAAGCACACGAGTTCCTCATCCATAGAGCTTGGTAAAACCTCAGTTGCATCATTTCAGCATAATCCTTTCATCAACAGATGTGATTATAGCTTTAGTATGTAGATCTTGAATTTTTGCTTAGACTTGTTTGTTAAGGAGAACAGATACAATTAATCCTGTTTCTCTTCCAGTCATCCCAACCTCCTCTGTTCTGATCAACCATTTCCTTCTCTTGGTTTCCAGAATCTCATGCATGAACCTTCCTCAGTAGTTTAGAAAGTGATAATTAGATACTATAATGATGATTTTGAATCTGGGAAAAATAAGAATTGGAAGCAACTTAAGAGTTGACTCTGGCATACCGATTATTTGCTCTGCTTTCCTTACCTTGGCAGCTCATTCTGTGAACTACTAATAAAAAGACAGCGTGGGGAGAAAAGATCAGTAGTTCACTGAATGTAGTCAGGCTAATATCACTTTGAAAACAGAAATTATAGTTAAATCACCATGAATTTTGTATGTTGATCATTTGAACTTGTAAAATTAGGTTTTAATACTGTTTTTAAACTACTTTCTTATAAAGGAATTTAGGAAGAGAATAGCAGGAAAGCTGTATTCTGTCACAACTCTGTTTTTTCCCCCCTTTAATGTTACAGATGAGCCACAAAATTCATGCAGCAGCATTGCAAGTGGCTCACCAAAAGCCACGGCCTGCCTTGGAGAAGTTCATACTGCCTAAAAGAATTTACATTATTCAACAGCCATGGAAATGTTAAGATACTCATTAAAATATTCTGTTTACTTAGAAGTGAGTTTCTATTCTAAATAGCACTTAGCACACTGTGATCAAAAGCTGCGTGCCTTGTATCTTGCTGTATTTCTGTTACAATAAAATACTTTATATGAAGAGTTAACAAATGTACTTGGGATTTATTGAAATACGATGGCTTCTGTCTAACCCAGTTGTACTGGTGCACAGGAATGGCTCAATGCCAAGAAGTCTTAACAGCTTCACTTCTGTGTGAATTTTGACTGAAGTACTGGAAACTGCTGGACCTCTCTTCTTTTCTCTTTTTTTATTTAACAATAGCAAAGGTATAGTGAACATGATCCAAAGCAAGCAGGTCGTAAGCAGGTTAGGTCACTGGAAGGCAGGGGTTTGGTTTTAGTCCAGGCCAAGCTGTTCCATGCTGAATGTGCACCTTGGGCTTACTGCGTGGTAAGAAGCTTCAGGAAGTGCTGGGAAACGTTTCCATGAGGGCAGGGGGGAGAGAACAAATAAAACCACACCCTTCTTTTTTTCCTTGCCTTTCTTTCTGTGAGGAAATCCAGCTCTTCTGCCTAGACTCCTCTCCTCAGATCCAGAGAGTGGGAAGAACCAAGAGAAAAGGGTCTTTTTGTGTGACTCCTGTGGGACTGGGGAGGGTAAGTGAAGGAAGTGCCTGAGTTGGAGCTGAACCTCTGGGCTGAGGGCAGGGAGCAGGGAGGAGTCAGGACCCAGAGAATGCACCATATTGAATTTGGAGTTTAGGGGTGGTAGAATGGGATATGAAGCTGAAAAGTGATGAGACTGAACATGCAGTGGTAGTAGTAGGGTCTTGAGGGGTCAAGCTTAAGAAGGAGGAGTAATTGTACAAGTAGAGGAAGTGTCCTTGTGCCTTGTCAGCAAAAGGCAACAGAAACAGCCAGTCCTGCCCAGTCCAGAGGATAACACTCTCCTGCTGCTAGTTTGCTGGGTAGCTCGGATGACTTCATGCTCTGAACTTAATTCTGCTGGGTCTGTTTCCTTTAAGGTAGTGATTGCAGATGATTATGCTACTGAAATTGCAGTCAAGGAGTCCAGAGAGACTTAACGTGAAAGGTTGTGCTCAAAAATGTTTAGATTGTCAATGAGGCTTCTTTTTACAGGTGCTTTCCACATGACTGCAGTGGAAATCTGTTACAGGCATGTGAAACACACTCCCTCTTCAAAAGAGGGATCCCAGGTGGGTTACCCAGAGTTAGTGTTACCATTTAACATAAATGTCTGCTTCATTTCATACACACAGAAAATGAAAATAACTTTCTATGTTGATTAAAGATCAAATTATGATCACAGGAGGTGATGACTAGTAGCATGTGCAATAATTTGGTTACACCTTGAATTAGTAGGCAAAATTAAAATAGTGCTGCTCCTATGAGGAGACTTTTTGTCCCATGTTCCTGGTACCTGCCTGTAAGTTGTTGTCACTGTTACACCAGCAATATACTTTATGGATATTTCAGTGGAAGGTACAGGATTTGGAAAATGGCTAGTTCTCCTTTTATATCCTGTATAGTACACTTTGCACTCCCCAGGCTGAGTGTATGGAAATGAGTATCAATAGGAACATAAATGATGAATCATGATGTGAGTTAAAGCTGTCCATCATGTGAAATGATCATTCATGCTATCAAGGCCAAAGATAGCACTGTGCACTCCTAATGTGTGTCTAATACGTGCTCCTTACAGGAAGAATGTTAGTGAAATCTTTGTAATATTCATCCTTCTTGTTGCTGAAGAAAGCCAATGGCTCATAGGACCTGACTCTGAGGCCTTTGCCAACATTACTTTCTATGAAGTAATCTGCTTCTGATATTTTGTTTATATTCTGGCCAAGAATTTAATGCACAATGAGATCTTGTAGAAGGCTTGTCTTTCCTCAGGTTATATCTGGCCCTCCCCTGGATGCTGAACTAACCAGCCACTTCATTCTTCTGGCCAGCTTGTGCTTAATGTTGCACATGAGTGGAGAAACCATCTGAACACCCTCTCCTAGTGCTGGAGGGGACAGGATGTGACCTGGCACACTACAGAAGTGGGTAGTTGTGCTAAGTTGCACCCTGCTGTGAGGAGTTACTCCAGTGCTGCAGGGATGGGGATCCCTGGGACCCCTGGCGCGGCTGGCGGGGTCGCTGTGGTGGGTCCCGCGCTGCTCGGCGGGGGCTGGGCCTGTTGCTGTTGTGTCAACACCCACGTCCTGACATGCCATTAACATCACTGCAGGTGGCAGTGAACAAAGGCTGCACTTCTGGTGGCTCTTACTTGGCTTTGCCACTTGGGTTTGGTGTTGTTTTAAGCGTTATTTAACCTGTGTGGAGTAGTGCATTCAGGGTAGGGATGGTGTGCTTGGTGTAGAAGGTAGCTACAGGAAAGTGCTTGTGTGACACAAATCAGGCAGACATCAGTCGTTGCTTGTGGGTGTAACAGTGGTGTTTAAATGGCCCTGTATGCCTCTGTGCAGTGCACGTTTAGCAGGTGCAGTGCTAGGGAGATGAATTAAGTACATGAGTAACTCAAGGTCTGGGAGTAAAGTGTCTGCCCGAGGAGCAGACGGGAGTTACACAGCACAGGCTCAGCGTATGCTGCTGAGAGGCCTCTGGGAAGCATCAGTCCTGGACAGATGGATCTGTTGTTTAAATGGCCCTGTATGCCTCTGTGCAGTGCACGTTTAGCAGGTGCAGTGCTAGGGAGATGAATTAAGTACATGAGTAACTCAAGGTCTGGGAGTAAAGTGTCTGCCCGAGGAGCAGACGGGAGTTACACAGCACAGGCTCAGCGTATGCTGCCGAGAGGCCTCTGGGAAGCATCAGTCCTGGACAGATGTATCTGTGCAGGTGTGGGGCAGGTGTGGGGCAGTCCCAAGATCACACGGTGGTTCCAAACAGCCTAGCAGAAAGCCTGCTTTAATGGAAAGTATTTCCATCTTCTACCTGGTTAAGATTTTCAGGTGTAAAAAGAGAAGAGGACCTAACAAGAAGTCTGGAGGTCTAGTTTTGATAAACTCAGCTTCATGGTTTTATTAAATGTGACACAGGTGCAAGCTCCTATTCTCCTGTAGCAGGTACCTTGCAGAGCACAAAATTCTGACAACTGGTCTGCTTAATGTCTGCTTCTGTAGGATGTTGTCCTCAGTGGTGGCATTAAAAGGACTGTTTCATGCGTGCTTTTTGTGTCAATAGCACTTAATAGTCTTTGGAGGGAATCCAAAAGATACATGTAGAGAACAAACTATAATCTTTTGCTCCAGTATATTTTGCAGTTAAGAACATTCAATAGTTAAGAGCACACCCCTTTCAACCACGTCAGTCTTTTACCTGCTGCTGTATTTTGCCAGGTGCGTTGTCAGTTGCATTATTTTCTCTAACTTATTTCTATTTATTAAGGTGTCCTCCTTAATATAGTATTGTGAATAACAAGAGCTAAAGAGTAAACTAAAATATTTTGAACTTCTAATGGACAACTTAGTTTTTAACCCTGTTTGTGCCTTCCATTCTGTGTGTCTCTTTGGTTGGTGTCTGCACCATCATTGATACTAGGATGTCTTCTGGTTGTGTCTTCCGTTTTAGGGAGTTTACTAAATTAAGACTTGAACTAAATAAAGCACTCTCCTTATTTAAATGTGAACTACAGCTAAATTCAGAACATAAGGAACAAATACAGTTGCCTTGCTAGAAAAATCAAGAACTTTGCAGGAAGCCTGTTTTGTGGCTTTTTGAGAGTTACTACAAGTGATGCAGGCATTCAACGAGAACGGCGTGGCCTCAGGAGATCATTCCTACTGTCCATCTCTGCTTCCTCATTTTGAGGGACACAATGTTGTTCAGTGTGCAGTTGTTTTTATCTCTAGACGCCTCACAGAGCTGGGAGCTGGATGCCAAGTGGCAGTGACAGCAATGAAAATGTTTCAGGAAATGCTGATTGGCTCAGCGTATTGGTAAACCCGGCAGTGCCGCACGTCCTGTCTGGCTGCCTGAGACACACGTTGTGTTGGACTTCTCTGCAGGGGTGAGTTTCCTTGTGGGCAAGGAAGAGTCCAAGCCCTTGACACTCCTGGGCTGGGTGGTGCCTGGCAGAGCTATTTGGGATGAACTTTAGTTCAGCTGCTCCGTGCACAGAGCCAGATCTGCCTGGAGAGTGATTTCTGGCTTGGTGAAACTGCCGCAGGTGGAATGGCAAAGGAATTACACATGGCAAATCTGGGAAGGTACAACAAAACAACTGTAGCAGAAGACAATTTTAATAAATAAATATTAGTTTTTGTTTAAAGCCTCTATCCCTTCCAAGATGTACCTGTTCTGCCTGTTCCTCACTAAGTAGTATGCACGGACTTGCAAATAATTTCAAGCATGGTAACCTCTTCCTGCTGTATGAACCCCAAAGTTCTAGTAACTGGTGCACACCTAAGCCCCAGCATTTACTGAGCTCATCTTTACTTTCAGTGGTAGAGAGTGTATTTCTAGAATATAAAAAAATTCCCCGTTCTAATTGCTGTCATCAGTGTGATAGTTCCTGTTGCTTGTAACTCCCATAACATGTTGCTGCACGGTGAAGCAACTCTTGGGTTTTGAAAGCCTTGCTGTGCTTGAGGATGTGCTGCCTCCTGTTCCCTTCCTGCATCTTCCAGGCTGTCCTCTGCTACTCGGTGTGAGCGGGACAGGGGTTTGCAGGGGATCAGCTCAACTGCAGGAATGTGCCCTTGACGCCTTCGGACCACTTGTGAGTTAAATCTTTTTGAAGAGGGTAGGTGTGGTGGGATTCTTTGCAGATCCCAGGGTTCCCTTTGTTTTGCCTTCCAGGCCTGTAGCACTGTCTGGCTGTTCTTGCTGTCCCTGCTGCTGGCTGAAGGGCTGCTGCTCTGCCTGCATTCTGCAGCACACGTCCCTGGACCAGCAGTGCTCTGCTCTCGCTCGTGCTCAGTGGCTGTAAACCCAAAGCCACTTTTGCTTCCCTGGTGAAATCCATCATAGATTTCCC